GTTGTTATGGTTGCCTCTACCAACTTAATGTGTTTTAGGGGAAAAAATTTAAAAATTTTTTATTATCTTTTCTTCAAGAACTACTAAATTTAAATAAGACTTTAAAATTAGAGGACTTGTTTGAAAATGACAATGAATTAATGAGTGACTAACATGACTATAAGCTATTGTTTGCCCAAAGATTATTTTACCAGCCACCACAAAGATTAAGGTCCTGGAATTGTATGTATTATAGATCCAGAGAAAAATCAGAAGAATTTTGCTATTTTTCAAAGGTCCTTTGCTCTTATTCCATTAGCAGATAACTGTGTATCAAGATGAGAGTTATAACAGAGGCCATTTTCGTCTTTATTATTTATTATTCTCCTATCTTATCCATTCTTCCCTCTTTTACTGGGAACATGCTGCTTTGGGGGATGGACAGAATTTTAATTTCTAGACAAAAATAACTATTCCTGGTCCATCTTCCTTTTGCTACTTTTTTCATTGAGCTGCACATAGCTGGAATGTGTTTGAGAGATCGTATAGGAAAAATTTGAAGGCTGTTGAGATAGTATTAGGAACCTGTTGCAGGTCCTCCCCGTCCTGTGCCTGTCGGTTCTTTGATGCTCTCTGTGTACATGATCTTGTGTGCTTGCGTTTGTCATATTTACTTGTTGAGTTAATTGTAATGATTTTGATCCAGGGAAAAGACCCATCAACAAATCGGATTCTTCTGATCCCTTTAAAATGAATGATCCATTTCAGCCTTTCCCAGGCAATGATAGCCCCAAAGAAAAAGATCCTGATAAGTTTTGTGATCCATTCACTGCTACTCCTACCACTGCCAATACAGAGGCTGGCCCAGGTGATTTTGCTGACTTCAGTGCTGTAAGTACTGTGAATGGGCCGGGCGGAGGTAATCTTTCCATTTACAGTTTAAAGAGTTTTCGAAGATTACTTTGGAATCTGCCAAATTTGCAACATTTTAGCCAAATTTGCCAACATACTAAAAATCATATTTTACTCCCTCAAGTAAAATCCCCCTGTTTGACTTTGTTTTGATGGTTCTACAATTACTAATTCTTGTGACAGATACAGGTTATTTTTTAAACCCTTCTCTTAGTCTTGGTAATATAAATTTAAGTAAAATATTGACAGTCATTATTTTGCAGATGGTTGTGGATGATGGTGATTTAATAGATCATTAGAAAGTCATTGCTGTCTGCCCACTGGATAAATAATGCCAGTAATAAACTTGTGTATTGCAACTGTGTATGTGTGTTTGTGTATAAAGTTTTAAAGATTTCTGGAGACCAGTCAGCAACTATTATAGAAGAGGATAGGGCTTTGTAGAATAGAAAGTAAAACTCTTTTATTCTCTAGTAGGTTTTTAAAAATATAAATGTTAAGTCTTAGGAAATAGGCCAGGCATGCTGGCTCATGCCTATAATCCTAGCACTCTGGAGGGCCGAGGTAGGCGGGTTGCCTGAGCTCACAGATTTCAGATCAGCCTGAGCCAGAGCGAGACCCCATCTCTAAAAATAGCTGGGCATTGTGGCAAGCACCTGTGGTCCCAGCTACTCAGGAGGCTGAGGCAAGAGAATCTCTTAAGCCCAAGAGTCAGAGGTTGCTGTGAGCTATGACGCAATAGCAC